CAGCCGGTGGGAGACTTGGGTGCGGGTTTGTGTGTGCCCCGACGATAATCTCTGGAAAAATCGCTTTGTGAGGGGTTTTAGTGCAGGCTGCTGTGGTGTCAATGCGGGGCAGGGGTTGCGTCCGTGTGTCCGTCCCCTCAGCGACCCAGCACCGGTGCACCGTGGTTCGTTTTAAAGCGAGACGTTGCGTTGTAAAAGCTGCTGTATGGAGTAGAGCTGCGTGTCCTGCCCCACTGCAGCACTGCTGCGGACACAGCACATTTATTTGTTGTGCTCGGTAAACATACTTTCCCCGTGGGAGAAACGCTACAGCAGACACGCGTGATGCTCACAACAAACTTTGTGATCGTTTGAATTTCTGCAAGTATTTTAATGGAGGGCTGTCGCTGTTCCTTGAATTTCACACGTTATGGTGTGAGCGCTTTCTGTTACTTGGTACTTCACTCTCCAGGATGCGTAGTTCTTGTTCTGATTTCACAATCACATTTACCATTAAATAATGAATAGGTATGTTTGAATTACATACAAAAATTGCATCGTTGCATTGTGTTTTTACCCCCTCATATAACTCGATGGCAATACCTTCTTTGACACTTCTGTGATCTTTTTTTTTTTGTGAATATCACTTCAGCTGATATTCTGTTATATTTTATGTAGAGAATTTTGTGGGTTTGAAAGCATATTGTGTTGGTTTTTAAAACCTTATGGACACTGTGTCCTGCCAAAATCTTGCTGTTAAATATGGAAAGAAATGTATAATAATTTGCCTTATTGCTGGCATGCTTCCTGTTCAGGTAGTTAAATAAAATGGTTTAACAGTAAAGAAACCATATATAATTTTCCAAATTCTTTTCAGATCACTTTTAACTAGCAGGAGTTTGGGCTTTTTTCTGTCAGTGAAGTAAATGGCAAGATCTGTATGTCTTCCTTTTTATCTCTGAGTTTTTCTTTAGATACATCATTGTAGCTATATACTTACTGAGATACCAGACTCACTTATTAAAATGTCACATACAGTTTTATCTTTTTAAGAGAAGGAAACATTCACTGCGTTTGGGAACTGTTTTTGTACTTCTGGTGGTAGTGTGCTATGCCCTGTGCAGGCACACACTGAAAGTATGAACTAACTGCTGGATTTTTTTCTCTTGCAGGTTTGCAGGTACCTTATGCTAATAAATAAAATCACAAGAGAAAAATGACACTAAGGAAAGGTATGCATATACTTGTGTCTAATTTTTAAAAAATCTCTTTTGTACTTTGCTGAGTTTCCCAGTCTTTGTCTGGTGATGTTGATCCACTTTTTTTCTTCTGAATTTTCAGTGAACATTTCCATCCTTATAGTGGCTGTTGTGATATTTTTGCTAGTTCTTCATCATAACTTCCTAGGCCTCAGTGACTTCTTGAAACGGGAACTGTCAGGTATGTTGAATATTATTTTAATTAAAAAAAAAAAAAAAAAGTTATGAGGTTGGTGGGAATGTGAATGCTTATGGAAACCTCCACATTCCTTAAATAATGTGCTTGGTAATGACCAATGATTTGCATAACAAGATACAAATTTCTGTACTCTCTTACGAGTGGCTCTCTAGGCAAGGTAGCAGTAAGGGATGCTTTGGGCTTTAAAAGTCATTAAGATATGCTTCAGTTTACTTAGCAAAGCCTCTTCATTTTCAGGAATCCACTTTTAAGAACTGTGTGTGGTCCCACAGAGCCTGTCCATGTCCCCATTAACTTCCAAGTCCCAGCTGGCCACTCCTGGGACCTGTTGTTTCTGTGTGGCAGTTGTACAGGTGCTTCCCCACAGCAGCTCAATGGGAACCTTAACCAGGAGTCAGCTGAAGTCAAAGCTGCTGAGCTCTGTCATCAGGAAATGGCAAACAGAGCAGAAGCCCAGCTTTGTGAACAGCAGATTACTGCCCACAATCTACCAAGTGCCTGTTTGCTATGTTCCTCAAATTAATTAAAATTATCTAATCTGTAATGGTCTAGATGATCTGAAAGGTACTAGTTGTTGTTAACTGTGGCTAGCGGGCAGTTTTGTAACTTTTACAGGTGTTGTGATCTTACTAGAAATTTCAGTGCTGATCTCCCATTTTCCTGCCTGTACTCTGAGTATAAATTCTTGTGGTTTCAGTGTAGATAATATAACGTGGTCATTTATCCCTGGAATAATCACAGGCTTTATTTAAAGCCTTGATCATTGGCAGGGAAAAAATCCCAATGGTGACTTTAATTTAGAATTTCTGTTTTCTTCGTTGGTTTCTACCTAAAAGGAAAAGAAAGTACATGAAAAAGGGGGAGGGGTGATGTGAAGAAGACTAGGAGGGGGCTAGGGTAAATGGGAGGGGGAAGTCAGTGGGATTACAGACATGGCAGAGGGGACCAAAGCTAAGTGTGGCCTACTGTAGTTTAAGCCTCATTTTAGTACCTTGTGCTGTGGATTTTAGCATGGTGATAATGTCTGTGTTACATTTGCATAAAACAAGCGTGTGATGCCGTTTTTACTCCACAGATTCAAATCCATTGGGACTTCAGCCTGTAGATTTCATACCTGCAGTTCCCCAGAGGCTGGCAGATGGAAGGAATGATAAGGAGATTTCTGTGGTCATTGCAGCATCAGATGAGAGGCTCGGGGGGGCCATCGCAGCCATGAACAGCATTTACCATCACACCAGATCCAACGTGGTTTTCTATATTGTTACTTTGAACGATACTGTGGATCACTTGAGGTAACGTTCCTTAGTAAGATTCCTATGATACTGTAGAAGTTAAGTATCCCTGAGAAGAGGAAGAGCTGACTTTCCCTGAAACTGCACTCCTCTGAACCTGCTGCTCAGGAGGGGGCATGGGGTGGAAAAGAGCTGTCTGTTTCCAGTAGGGTTATGCCCAGCCAGCAGGGCTGGAGTTTGTTGGTGGAGGGGTTGTAAAAGTTTCTGCATTTCATCTAAGCAATTCAAATGCTGGCAATGAAGTTTCTCCATTGTTCTTGATGGTTATTTGATCCCTTTATTTACCATTCAATTTGTTGTGATATTTTTTTCAAGGGACCTGTGACAACAGGACTATATGTTTCTAATGAAAAGTATGAGGTTGCTTCTTATTTTATGTGCTACTGCTGTGCAGTATGCTGATAGGGAGCACGACCCTGCAGTCATACAGGACCCCACCCACACTAGCCACAGATTACATGCAGTATGATGTTTGTTGGATAAAGAAGCGAGTGGCCAGGTCAAAGTCTGTGTCACTGTCAACTGATCTCTTGCTTTTCACTTGACTTCCTCTCATTTAACAAGACCTGTGTCTTTCTTCTGTTTGCAGGCTGTGGCTGAGTAACACTGCTCTGAAAAATCTGAGATACCGCATTTTGGATTTTGACCCTCGTGTCTTAGAAGGGAAGGTACAAGTGGATCCTCAAAAGGCAGACACCTTAAAACCAGTAAGGATGATGTTAATTAATTTTTGCAATTGTTAGTTAGTAACAATATATTTTCATATTGGCTTTTGAACACAAATAGAAATTAAAACCAAAGCTGGTAACATATAAACAGTCTTTGATAATCAAATACCTACATTTCAGTAAGAGTAAATGCCCAGATAGACATGGATTTGAATATCTACATATGCATGCCTAGTATAATTTTTTTGCTGCTAGCTGCAGTGAAACACAGCAGCTTGCATGTCAAGCATACCAACACCTCAGAGATACTATGGATATATGTGGCTAAATAAGACATTCTAATATAGAGCAGTTTTAAAGTTAGTTTCAATGCACAAATTCTTAAGAAACCAGGAACTGATGCAACCTATTTATTTTAAATAAATTCTAGGATATTGCTACCTATTTTACTTCCTTGACAGAAGTCGTCTTGAACATCAGTGCTATGATAAGTGCCAGGAGTATCAGTCAACTTCACATTTATTTAAACAATTTTTCCTTTAATTCTTCACTTGCTTTCTTGTTTTCACAGTTGACCTTTGCAAGATTCTACTTGCCCATGTTGGTGCCTCATGCAGAAAAGGCCATCTATGTGGATGATGATGTAATAGTGCAAGGTATGGAACCTTTTGCCACTGAGGTCAGCACGCCATCTCTTACAGTAACCCACAACTTCTGCTTCAAGGAGCAATGTAAAAGCTTAGTAAATGCAAATAAGTTCGATTAAATTGAGTGGTTTTACCTGCTGTAGCAATGGACTGAACAAAAAGTCACTCGGTGCTTAATCAGGATTGCTTTTAATTTTTCTGTGTTTTCTTCCATTTTCCAGATGATATTCTCGAACTCTACAACACTCCATTGAAACCTGGACATGCAGCTGCATTTTCAGACGATTGTGACTCAACCACTAATAAATTTGCTTTCCGTGGAGCAGGCAATCAGGTTCCATTTGTTCTGATTCAGTAGTAGGGATACTGTAGATCCCAGGCTTTGGAAACAGCCACTCGGTTTTAATGTTCTTGCAGGTTGGCTTCCAGATGCAGTGAACCTGAAGGTGTGACCATCCCTTCCCAAATCAAATTACTTTGATGTCTTTGTTACAAATGATGCCTGCGGTTTCTGTTTAGGCATAGTAAAAGCAATTCAAATTTTTGTTGTGCTTTACAATGAGAGTAATTCCCAGTGTGGAACAGCAGGAGGTCTGAGAACATCAGAGGGAGAATTTTTCATTTGTGATTGTATACAAAGTGCTTTTTTTGGGAGTGGTACTTTATTAATAATATGGTATTATTAAGACCATGTAGCATTCCTTACAAATATGTCATTTATATAATCATACTTTTAAAATGTTAGGCCTTTTAAGCTTTCTTTATCTCATTTTAAAGGAAGGGGTATTCAACAACTTCAAATTACTCTTGTCTCTTGGGAGTTGTGCAAAATTTTTCTTTAAATAGTTATTTGACCATATTTTAAGCTAATTTTTACTCTTTTTTTTTTTCAGTATAATTACATTGGGTTTCTAGATTACAAAAAAGAAACCATCCGAAAGCTTGCCATGAAAGCCAACACCTGCTCCTTCAATCCAGGAGTTTTTGTTGCCAATTTGACAGAATGGAAGCTACAGAACATCACTAAGCAGTTGGAGAAGTGGATGGCACTTAATGTAGTGTAAGTACCCTCAAGGTCGGGGCAACAGCAGGTCAGGGATTGGATTAGAGTGGGCGCATTTAACTGATAAATGAAGGGCTTTGTATGTGTCTCTGGATTGCTGTCATGCAGCTGCAAGTGAAAAATCAGCTTATTTAGAGCCACACAAGCATCCTCTTCCAACTTTTCATCTTTTCTTCCAGAGAAGAACTTTACAGTAGGACTCTGGCCGGCAGCATCACGACACCTCCACTGCTGATTGTGTTTTACAAGCAACATTCCAATATTGATCCCATGTGGAATGTCCGGCATCTCGGTATGTATGGAATGTTTGTGACACTGCTCTCCCAGTATGTTTTTCCCGGTCTGTATCTGGACACCTAGCTAATGACACAGCAAATGATCTTTTTTCCACCTATCATAGAATCATAGAATGTCTGGGGTGGAAGGGACCTCCAAAGGTCATCTAGTCCAACCCCCCTGCCATAAGCAGAGCCATCTAAAACTAGGTCAAGCTACTCAGGTCCTCATCCAGCCTGATCTTGAATGTCCCCAGGGATGAGGCCGCCACCACCCGTCTGGGCAACCTATTCCAGGGATCTATCACCCTCATACTGAAGAACTTTTTCCTAATGTCAAACCTAAATCTACCCTTTTTCTAGCTTAAATCCATTACCTCTAGTCCTGTCACTACAAACCCTTGTGAACAGAACCTCCCCTGCTTTCTTGTAGGCCCCTCTCAGGTCCTGGAAGGTCGCTATAAGGTGACCCCGCAGCCTCCTTTTCTCCAGGCTGAACACCCCCAACTCCCTCAGCCTGTCCTCATAGGGGAGCTGCTCCAGCCCTCTGATCATTTTTGTGGCTCTCTGCTGGACACACTCCAACAGGTCCACATCCTTCCTGGGCTGGGGGCTCTAGAGCTGGACACAGGACTCCAGGTGAGGTCTCACCAGGGCAGAGCAGAGGGGCAGGATCACCTCTCGCCATCTGCTGGCCACGCTGCTTTTGATGCAACCAGGACTCGCTTGGCCTTCTGGGCTGCTGCTGCACATTGGTGGTTCGGGTCCAGCTTCTCATTTACTGGTACCCCCAAGTCTTTCTCCAGTGAACTGCTTTCTAATGCGTCCTCTTCCAGCCTGTATTGGTAATGTTGGTTGTCCCTGCCCAGGTGTAGGACGCTGCACTTGGTCTTGTTGAACCTCACGAGGTTCACCTGAGCCCACCTCTCCAGCCTGTCCAGGTCCCTCTGGATGGCCTCCCGTCCCTCTGGCATGTCAACTGCACCACCCAGCTTAGTCTTGTCAGCAAACTTGCCACTGTCTATGTCATTGATGAAGATATTTAATGCCTTATTCTATATCTAAGCAACACTGCTTCACAATACCTTCTTGGGAGGCTTGTAGGCCTGATCCTTCACATTCTTTTTTTGAACTGCAAGGGGGGATAGTTCTTGAATTGACTTATTTTCAAAATACTTCTCATTTTCCTTTTCTTTTTCCACATATATATTGTATCTGAAGTGATCATAGGCATTTCTTCCAAGACTGGTGAGAGGGACAGATAATTGTACCTGTTCTGGTACTGGTGAAACCCCAGTGTTGGGAGAGCTTTCTTAGGTTTTGTTTCCAACGAACAACACACAGGCTGGTGAACTCAACTGGGTATTACGAGGGTTTCAAACAACTTGAAAGTTAAGGCAGTACATTAAAATAGATACTGAGAGAGAACAAAGGAACATTGAGTTGCATCAGATTGCTTTTAATTTTGCCCTGACTTCCGTCTCCCAGATCACCTTCTTTCTCCATAAAGATTTCCTTTGTTAAAATCCTCTGTTTTGAAGTTAAAATATTGCATGTTGGTGTTCCTGCTGCCTTTATTTCAGGCACTAACCCTTCTTTTTCAACAAAAGGGTCTAGTGCTGGAAAAAGGTACTCTCCTCAGTTTGTGAAAGCTGCCAAGCTGCTCCACTGGAACGGACACTTCAAACCGTGGGGAAGAACAGCTTCATATGCTGAAGTCTGGGAGAAGTGGTATGTCTCTGATCCTACAGGCAAGTTCAGCCTGATCCGCAGACATTCAGAAGCCTACGAAGCCAAGTAGAGTCAACGTTAATAAATGATAACATTTTCTCAGGAAACTTCTGGAGCCAAGACAGATTTTTTTTTTTCTTTTTTGATTTAGCCAACTTGTATTACAGAGCAGTTCTTGCCTTCTGGAGCACAAGATGATGCACTTATTGAGGTGCAGTTCTGAAATGCACAGGTCCAGAGAAGCCTCACTTCACCTGTGTGACAAAGATGCTAGTGCAGCAGCACTATAGAAAGCAAGGGAGGATCTCCACAAACTAGCACTTCAGTTAGTTCATTTCTGTCTGTTGTGCATTCATCTGCTCTTTACAAGTTTCCTAGAAGAGGATAATTTCATCAGCTACAGAAAGGAACAGTTTCTAAAAACAAGATATAATTTCAGCTGGTGCTTGCACCATGCCAATCTTGCACAGCAGTGTACCGTCATGAAGAGCTGCTTGGGTTTGTTTGTTTTCTTATCCTGTGAAATAGTTTTCTCAACAACCCTTTCTTGCATGAACCTCCTGCCAACCATTTCTGTGTAAGTCTTTCTTGCAGAATTCTGCAGAATTGCATCATTTTTTTTTTGTTTTGTTTTAAAGATTAATATTTCAAGTATTATTTCACTATGCAAAGTGGATTTAACTGCCAGTGAACACTAAAACATTTTTTTGTAAAGTTGTGGAAAAGACTCTGTTCAAAAATAAAAGTGAATTTTAACATGTTGACTGAACCCTCAGGTAAATGACTGATTCTAATCTTGATCTCTGAAGTGTGTTTCCTTTGAATACAGTAGTAGTGATTGGAGCTAGTCTTGATCTCATCTTTTTGAAAGCAATCTCTTTCTGAAATTGTACAAAATGTTTCTTTTGTGGATCAGGCTGTATGAATTATAGATTGGTATTGTTAAGCTCATCATAGTTCTCTCAAGTGAACATGGCTCTGCTATGGAAGTTGTCCTGGTTCCGTGTAAAA